CAGCTGTAATTCTTTGAGGTGTTTAACAAATGACCCAAAGAGTGACTTCCACATAGGAGGGTTAAGCTTTCCTCTTACCGTGAGTCCAGTAGTGCCAGCAACACCAGGATAACCCGGCGTACCTGCTATGCCCTATGAACAAGCAAAAAAAATAAAACACATGGTTAGTAAAGCTGAGGTGGCATTATGTTAGGACACTGCCAATTTTTTTTTCTTCCTGCTATGCTTGTCCAATCAGAAGGAGATGTGGTCAGCCAAAAAGTCTCAAGGAAAGATAAATGTCTTAAAGGCGAATCTTTGTTGGTGTTTTTACTCTGGTTTTAGGTGACATTAAAACAGGAACACTATGTTCTCAAGAGGCCTTGGTATGTCAAAGGCTGATGATCACAGAACAAAATTGACCTAACTGACATTTTTGTTCAACCATTTTTCGGCCCAATCTCAGGCTCTGGAAAAGAATCACTCAATGTGAAACAGCAATCGAAGATTACTACAGTTGCTTTGTGCTACAGCACAGCAATGTTCACTTCACACCTTTATACACAATACACATTATAGGTATGTACTCCGGCATTGTAGGAATTCATTGCAGAAAAGGATTACCCAAAACTACACACACAGGTCATGTACCTATCTCTCAAAAATTACATTAATGTGACCAGCCAGACTGTACACTGCCTGGCACTTACATATTTATGCTTAGTGCACATTCCACATCGTATGCAACCTGGTACAGCTGATTTGCTGCGTGACAATGTGCTTTGTAAATAGCGCCACCAATAGGTGAAATTGTTTTATGTATTTAGACTGCGCGTCTTTACTGATGTCATGTTAATATGTCCGGTATGGAATCTCATCCCCTTTTCGCTCTTTTTGGATGGGTTTTTCTCACGTGACTCACGCTGTTCTTTAATGGAAATAAGGGTGTGAATGACTGGTGATTTCGCATGACACCGGCATCTCAGTACCAAAGGTACCAGTTAACAATAATATTCTTTGTTCGAAGCTGGATATCTTGCATAAATTTGCGACTGGTATTTTCAGGTGACTTATTGTCACACCATAGCCGCGTTTTCCAAACAATAGCTGTCCTGCATTCGGGGGACTCTTGGTTAGTTTCCTTGTTGCGATGCGTGCATTCTTGGGTGTCACTTGCCTTCATCATGTAGACCAAGCAACATCTAAATATGCTCTTCCTTTGGACTTCACGTCCAACATGTCCAACTTACGATAGTGTTAGGCCTTTTTAATCCGCTATACATTCACCTTGGCCTACAGTATTTCCAACCGCATTTGATGGAGTGTCGTCTTGAGGCATGTGAGATAAGGGACTGCTTTGGTCGGCGAGTACAACAAACTTGCGATCTTTTAATATTTTAAGTTAAATAGATACCATGTTCGACATATCATGCAGACATAGCACTGAGTTAGCATTTGGGCAATTCCGTACGAGAAATGTAAACATTTGCAGTATTTGAAGTTTGCTCAGTCTTCTTGAAATACTACTTTTAGGTGATGGGATATTCTGCAAGGCAACATCCTCACCAGGTCATAGGTATCAATCTTTTTCTTAAAAGCTTGTCAGACTTTTTTACATACTTTATCACCCAAGTTTGGGAATGATCACACTAAGCATACATGTACTTACAGTGTGTTAACATCTTATTATAATGCTCGACATTTACGTGGGTTATGCATATTTTGAATAACGTGACCTTCGTATTGACCAGGTTTAAGGTTTAGGTCTCATTTAATCCGGAGGTACATTAACACCCTGTAATGCTGAGTATATCGTACTGAACTTACGTACATATAGGGGTTGTACCTTGTTGGTGTCTTAGAAGGCTGTCTGTTGACATTTTAATTTTGTTACAATGAATGCACAAAATTGGTTTACTCAAGCTTGCCTTAGTGGAATAAGGAAATGCCCTCGAATGTAACGTCATGCGCATAAGGTCTATACATCAATCGGATAAATTATCTCTTGATTAGAGCTATTCTTGGTTAAATTGCAGATGGAAATGTGACCCACTCTGCAAAAATTGGTAATAAGTCGCCAGAGCTACTCTTGAGTTACAGGCCTTTTTAAAGAACCCTGCACAGTGGAAATTAGTAGAAATCCCCAACACTCTTACTTGTACATTTTTTATTAAAATGCCGAAATAAACTCTTTGCATTGATGTATCATTTAAGTTACTCTTTCTAATTGAAGGTAAAATGAGATTACTTAAAAAATTACATTATACACCTTTTTTATAGAGCCGGTTATGAATATGATTGGCCATGTATTGAGTATGATCAGTGTAACCCATTTAATACATGTACATATATGTGCACTGACAGCTTAGTATTTATGAACTGTATGGATGCCAAGTTGTTAATCATGTACACAATGGGATACGACTGAAAGGCTGATGTAGATTTTCGATTTTTTTATCTCTCACAGATGACCGACGTATCTAACTTATAAGGCTGTCGTTTATTTTTGATATACACATAGTCGCATCCAATTGTACAAAATGTGAACCTGCATTAATCCTTGCAAATGGGAGAGAATAAATCTTTTTATCTTTCGTAAGAAAGATTCGGGTCACTGACTCAATTTTTTTGTAGCCTTGCCACTCTGGTTACATTAACTTTGAAAGTAAACATACACATCATAAAAAATATTTATCTTGTTCAATTTTAACACTGTGCATGGCTTCGAATGGCTTAATTTGAAAACACATAAATTCAACCTACTATTCCTGTAACCATGACCAAAAGTCTGAAGCAATGATGAGGCCAAACTAGCCATTAAAGCATTTTGCATAAAGTGACATTTTGACAACCAAGTGGCTTTTCCCTGTGAAAGTTCTGAGGGAGAAAAATCCAGATGCCAAAGATTGCTACTGGTTCACAAAGGGGCCAGATTGGAACTATCGAACTAGAAGAGTCCCACCGAAGAATTCACTCACCCTCCGCCCTCTAGTTCCGTTTCTCCCGGGGTAACCGTCCAGTCCGGGCTCACCAGGGAGTCCAGGGGGACCCCTGGGCCCAGGTGAACCATCGTAGCCAGGTGTGCCCGGAGCCCCTGTGGGTCCAATTGGCCCTGGTCGACCCTGTGGTCCCTAAAAAAAAAAGCCCAAGAAATGTAATGGCCATCATTACATTTGACCGTCAAATATAAGCATAGGCAGGTTGTTCTTTGAAATGAATGGTACATTGTAGTATAATTGTATGCAAATGTTTGGAATATTATAACTACGATCTGAACAAATTACACGGTTGTTTCAGTTTTGCTTCTTTGATTTGTTTAATTTGTGGAATATTTAGAGAGCATTTATTCCTCAACAGACCTATACATTTCTCATTTTAAAATACACCCATAGTGAAGTCTTCAAATTGATTTTCTGACAAGTCTTTCTAAAGATTTGGACATTCTCATCTGGAAAACCCCGAGTCTGTAAAGCCTCTTCAAGGAGTCTTAAAAACTGGCCCAATAGCGCAAGCATCTTAAAAATATCAATTCACAATACAACTTGACACCAGGAGTTTCCTTAAAGGCCACCTGTTACCTTCATGGTCAACATCTGACATACATGACCTTGCAGTTCATTCTGTATTTCTCCATTGCTAACACGTGATATCACACAAACTGAAATACAATTTCAAGGCTCACATACAGACACACCCATGCTTATTCACACACAAAAGCCTGACTTAAACTGAAGTCATTAAAAAATAAGTACAAAACCACAATTCCCACATGTAAAAGAAACAGTACACTCATGATGAATGTGCTCCAAAACTGCACTCAGTAGAACGACTGTGGGAATCAAATATCAAGAACTGCTCTCATAAACATCAAAGGTAACAAACTCCCTGGTCACTGGTTGAAAATTAAAGCTACATGCTATCTGATATAATAAAACTTGCAAGTATTGTTGAAATTATATGTAGATGATCTCCAGTCCTTGAATGGTTTTACTTTATTCTCTGTTCATCAGACTGAGCTATAAATCGAACAATCAACTTGTGCACAGCCATTATGAAAATCAATTATCCACCAAGATACACAAAGGGAGAAAATGGTTTCACCTTGAAATATTTGTTTTAAATTGAAAACCAGAGGTACTAGGGTTACTGGTTGAGGACAACATGTAAAGAACAATTACAGACTCCTTACCTTGACTTCGGAACCGTTTTTGCCAGGTACACCTATTTGGCCAGGCTCCCCCTGCAGCGGAGAAATACAATTTCTTCATCACAACATCAAAGGGATGAAGTTTACTTCCCATGCAGAAAGGACCTGCTCGTTTAGACGATGTGTAAATACTGCACGCTCTGCTCACCTGACATAAGTCAGAGGTTGCTTTGAGTTTAACATTAGCCGTATTCTTGACCGAATATAGTTTACATGTATGTGCACTTACCTCTTCCCCTTCCTCCCCAAGTATTCCAGGTATTCCTGGTAGGCCTCTGTCCCCACGCAAGCCTGGGTAGCCGGAGTAACCGTCAGCCCCAATATCCCCCTGTGGGAAGATGAAAAAAAGTATGCAGTTGAGATTTTGACAACATTGTCACTTTGTGGTGTGGAGCTTCTGAACGGCATCCTTTAATATCCATCTTCAAATGTCTAAAGGAAGGAAATGTGAAACTTCTGTAAAAAAGTCACAGGTTCTCATTGCCCTCATTGCCTTTAAGTGGCAACTTACAATAAAGCTGAAAACAGGAAACAACCAGCTGAAATGTAAGAGGTCCCCATACATTTGCACATGGCAGGTGCACAAAAAAGACGAAAATCAGGGTCAACATCTAAACAAAAAAAAATGCTGAATTCTCACACCCCTGATTACAGACAGACTTGTGAGAAAGTGATCACTCTGTAAAACTAAGAAGCCCTCTGCTTGGCCATGGCAAATCACTGCAACAGCCACTACACAAATTAAAATGGCCCTTGGTTTTTCTGAGCAAACAGCTGACACAATGACTTTTGCCATTACTGGAGGGTGGACTTCCTTGACATGCAGTTTTATAATGGTTGTTGAGTATCACAGAATCAGCATTTCAACTCAATGCATACTGGAGGTGTCCACACTTCCGCATGTACTACTCACTGAAGCTGTTGGGATATCAATTAGGCCTACCAAGTACACATATATCCCCATTCTAACCTGGAAGGGCCGTGCTAGCTATGGATGTATGAGTTATACGGCTATCGTCAACTCCATCAAGTTCATGGCATGGCCCAGATTGCACTTCAAGTCAGCACTGAGACTCACCTTTTCCCCAGCTTCACCGGGTAAACCAGGATCACCCTCGGGCCCCACCTCGCCCTACAAAATAAACAGCCAATGCAAAATAGAATGTTGTGATATACTATGAGGCATGGAGATGAGGAGAGATTGGTTAGTTTTATGTCGACAGTTTCACAGTTGGCCTTAAAATTTTCTAATTATAAGTAAGGGTAATTCCAGAAATTAGGGTTCCAAAAGTATGACATTTTCATGTACCTGTTATATCTGACCTTTATATTTGACATGGAAATGTCACTGGAATTGATTTCAAACTATTGCTATTTGTTTGGCAGGTAATTTGCGTTAATTCATCATTCTTTGAAATTAGAAAAAGTGTTATGAACTTACAAAATCACATGTCTGATGTGACAGGGACACGAAAAGAAAATGGACCCCTAATTTCTGGAACTACCCTTAACAACTTTTATTTCTGCACAGAGCATGTGGCCAGAATGTCTGTTCATTGGTCCAGATCAATCACATGACAGGGCAGTATGTATCCGCATATCACACTCACCATGAGATACCTCATTCTGCCAATAGCATGTGCATTCGCACGAGACAGTTTTGCATGGTACCCATGATACGTTTTGTGTATTAGTCCCATTCCTGTCCCTGCAGCATATAATGTAATGCAGGGACTGCTAACCAGACTACATGACATGTGAACTTGTACTCACTGTTACCTGCACTACTTTCACATTAAAGTTTACGCAATTAAAGAAAGTAAGGGAAGAGTGCATTTGCAGATGATACCCTTTACGTCTGTTATGTTAATTATAACAGTAGGCATGTCACATTCTGAACTTCTGAAATTCAGAACTTGTTTCTCTGGATAACTTTCTCGGCCTCAACACAATAAAGACAGGGGTACAAAAAAACATTTGTTGACTGCTGTGATGCGGGATATGACATTTTGATCACCCTTGGGCACGCACTTGCCTGGGAGCGTTATGCATCCCTCGGGTTTTCAAAACATCATATCCCACATCACAGAAGTCAACAATTGTTAAGTGCCCCATTGATACAAGTTCTATTCTAAATACAGTTTCCAATTGTGGTTCCCTCTTAAAAAGTGTTAATCATATTAGAATAATCCGTTTTCCCATACAAAATATGGGGGTGGAACATGAGGCAGGTAACAGGAACAAATAACAAGTTCTGTAGGGAACCTCATCAAATCACCTACACGATATTTCTGAAAAGGTGCTGCTGCAAAATCATTCACCATGTAAGCCTTCAAATCTCATCTGGTGCAACTTGGACTCAACCTTATCAAGGGAAACAGTGACAACTGTACCAAAAGAACTTACCCTGGAGCCTGGTGGTCCTGCTCTACCTTCTCGTCCCTTTTCACCCTGATCGCCTTGGTAACCCTCAAATCCAGGCTCCCCTGGTTGCCCCTCTAGACCTTGATGACCCTGTCACACAACCGTGGCATTACTTATTGCACAAACACTCAAAACACGTTTTGTGTGACAAAGTACTGAGCGTCTCACATCATGATATTTCCTTTGCTATGTAAAATGGCCCATTTGCTGGGTCGTAAGCTTTTCATAACAGGGACCAAAACTGTCTGAATATATGCAATACTTTAATCATTATAAAGTGTAAAGGCAATAGACTTATCAGAGGAGACGACGTAAATGTAGTCAAGGGTGGACCCAGGATTTTCAGAAGGGGGATAGGAGCAATCAAATATCAGCGTGCAGTGCAAAGTCCGTAGTAAGAATGTAAATGCAATGGAGCAAGTTACCATTCATTGTCATGGATGTGGTGGGGAGGGTGCGCGCCCGGTGCACTGCCTCGAAATTCGCCCCTGTGATTACAAACGCCTTCTTAAGCCCATTGTCATAGAGGCATGTAACGTGCGCGTACAACCTGTCCACATGCACTGCTCCACTGCAGCAAATGGCCTCTAACTCTCGTTGCTGACTTACACTATATGTAGTCCCAGCAAGGGGACTTATGTAATGAAGCTGTCATTGGGCATGAGCACATTTTGGCTGTTGGTCAGATACAAGCACACAACCTGCAAACTAGTGGCTAATACAGGAGCATTCTGTTGATGTACATTCCTTCTCCTGAGTCTGACATGCAAAAGTACTGCCTGGCACTCCTGTCTTTGTTCAATCCAATATTGTCACAATTTTTTTGACAAAGTGGAACAATCAGATAGCACAGTGGTATGATTTGAAAGGCTTAACCTTATCAAAAGGGGGGGAGGAATTTTCTCCAATATCCCCACGGTGTATTTTTCCCTGTGTCGAGCCTTCATCGGTGTTTCAGAAGGATGTCTTACAGTCATTTTGACACAAATTTTGTGAAAACTGGAAGTGCTGTTCTCACAAAATGCCCATTACTCCAACGCAGGTTGGGTGTGCTCAATGCATGCAAATGATGACATGCACGATGCAAATGAGCTGACAAACATAAAGCCATGAATTCAAATGACTGTGACTACAAAACCATGTCTCAGATTGAATTAAAACTTTACAGACGCACTTATCAATAAGTCTATAAATGAAGAGAAAGCTTCAAAAGGATCTAGTATGTGACAGCCCAGTTCTAGAAAGGGGATTGCTATGAGGTGGTCTGAAAAAGCCTGGTTCTAAATAGGGTGAAAAGAATGGCCGGTAAAATCAATTGAATCTCCATTCAGATTGTGCTTACTTTAATTCCTTTTGGGCCCCGCTCCCCTCTGTCACCAGGTGGTCCATCTGGGCCAGGGCTGCCCCTCAATCCTCCATACCCTTCGGTGCCATTCCTGCCCTTGTAACCAAATCATGGAGAGCAAAATGGAGTAACACTACCAGACAGCACAAACACTGGGCACAAATTAATTCTAACTTCTTTGAGTACTATGTGGGCCTAATGGAATGAACAGGTTTTAAGATGGACCCATAATTCAGTCATCTGAAGCAGATGGAAAGTGTAAAGGTTGGACAAAATAATACCCCTAATCTGAAAGGCTGTATTGGATTTTATGACAAGCTGAAACCTAAGGTGGATACAGTACCAAATTTGAGGGGAGGGCCAAAAACTTTTTTAGATGGAAGGAAACAACATTTCATGGCCTTTCAGAGATGGAAGGCTGCATCGTGGGGTTGATACATGCTTTTGGAAGGATGAGAAATAAAACAGACCAAAGCTTGATTCTCTCTCATTATTTATAAAAATAATCTCCTTTTGGGTAGGCCACGGCCTCCACTGCCCTTGCCCTCCATCTACCACAGGCGAACACATTTCATCACCACAGGGTGATAACAGAAAAATGGCAAAATATGACTCCAACCTGAACGAATTTAAAGTGTTAATACCGGCAATTCACAATACAGCATGCCACCAAGAGTTTGCCGCAGGCAGGCCACTTGTCAAGTTTACGGTTGACACGTTGCCGCGATTAAGCGCACTTAATTTGGAGAAATTGGATCGACTGCAGTGCTCCCTGCACCACACTAACTCTAATACCCATTTGAAAAAGAAATTTTGAATTTTCAACGAGACAAACAAAAATTCGGACAAAAGTAAAGTTTTCCCTGCATAGTGCACTGGCAAATGAGATTTTGTTGACTATTTATCCCACAATGCAAAAAGGCCTTGCCATGACAATCTCTTGGTGGTGCGCTGCACTGTGAATTGCCCGTATTATGTATTTGATCAGTTACTCCATCCTTTGTGCTACCCAAATTGCCCTGGCTGAGTTTTAAAAACGTGCCATCACAAACATGCTTATTGAATCAGTGCTGTCAAATTGATAGGAGAGGACCTAAAATGTCTACCTACCACTGGGCCAGGTTCTCCTGGTGGACCTCGTGGGCCTGGTGTCCCAGCTAGACCTGGTGCTCCAGGCTCCCCTGGGGGTCCTGCTGATCCATTAAGTCCCTTGAATAGATAGAACATAACACAACAATAACTGGTGACTCCCTTGAAGAGATACAATATAACATACAAATAATCAATGCCACCCTTCACAAGGTGTAAATGGGGAGGGGGCACGGTTGGATTAGGAATCTGTGCAAGAGCATCAGCAAAAGCAGGAGGGGGGAGAAGATATAATGTGCAACACTCAGGCCCAACTGCTGGGTGCCCCTGCTCAGGTACCCTCTTCTCAAATGAGGTCGGCCCCAAATCTTGCTCCTGTCAGTATCTTTGTTCATCCTTATAATATTTTGGATGTTTTTGCAGCAGAAAACAGAGCTGTGTTGACCTTAATGAGTTTCAGTGTTATAGGGGATCTATATTTGCGATAATAAAGCCTGAAGTCAAAGACGCCCAGATTATTCATGGAAAGAAATCAAATCCTGTACTACTCACAGGTGGCCCAATCCCGCTAGCATTGACTCCAGGAAATCCAGGGGGTCCCAGTAATCCCTGTTTGTAATGAGTCAGGCACAAAAGCATCTCATGTCAATCATTTGGAGAAAACTTGACAGTCTCTGCGTACATCATATAATCTGAAGCGGGAGCTGCTTCTCTAAAAGACAGCAAAAAGATGCCAAGGTACGCATATTGTGTTGGCCGGAAGAAATCTGACAGAACTGTTTCTCCTTCACAGAAAAATGGTGACAGAATAATATATACTGTCAAACCAAAAACTAAACTCTTGAAAATAACAAATTCATCATCTTGTAACTTCAGCTGATTGTCCCCATTCCCTTCCAAAATTCCAGAACTGCTTGATGTTTCTTCAAAACCAGTTCAAAACTCACTGTCCAATGTTGATATTGACTGCTCTGTCTTGTGGAGTGCAAACAATCAATTAAAATGCAACGTTTCTGTGTAAGTTCAACTCTTTTGATGTACGCCCACTTGCAACATCTTTGAAAGTTTGCTCTGAATTACTGGATGCAATTATGAAAGTGTTTTGGAATTTAAAGAACAGTTAAGGTCAATGGCTTTTCACTGAAAAAAGAAAGCAACTTGGATTCAGCTTTTGGTTATCAGTGTGTTTTTTTACAGAAATATGAAAGTAACACCAAAACAAATGAGATGGTGGAGAGATTCATGCCACCATACCGGTTCCCCTCTCTCTCCTAGAGGTCCTGGGGGTCCTGGATCACCATCTTCACCAACCTCCCCTGCCTCACCATCCTCACCGGGAAAGCCCATGAATCCCTGCAATAGACAAAATCAACTTGATGACACTGACAATACAATGACACTGAATGACTGATGGCAGGACAAAGTTGGTAATACCAACAAAGCTAAATAACATCCGTTGGTGGATCCAGCAACACCAAAAGGGGAGGGGGCACCCAGTATTTCCTAAGAGGGTACCCCAAATGGATGTGAACCCTGAACATATAAATGGGGCATATTTTAGTGATAAGTATTGTTGTTATACTGGTTAAATACCCAGTTGGCAGCAAAAAGTAGGGAGGAAAGAGAGAACCTTAAAACAACTAAAAATCCCAAAAATGGGGGGCAGGCATCACCCCCTCTTGATCCAGTACTAATATCATCATAAAAAATGACAATGACAAAGACAGAGACACTGGCAATGATGTCAACTATGACCACAGAGCTGGATTTCTAATCAGGCACTGCATGATTCCGTTCATATACACGTGACAGTAGTAATTATCACTACAAAGTATTGGCAAATAATCTAATAAAAAAAACCTGAAGAAATAAATCCTAGACCTTTTCATTTATTAGTGAAAGGACCATACCTCAATTTACACAGATTTGAAAAAAGCTGTTTTATAGCTGACCAGAATAAACTGAAAACGTAACACTTAATCAACTGGATAGATAGTCCACAAAACTAAAAATACAAATGTTAACCTCACACCAGGCAAGCAATTTGAGCATTCCTTCAAGGCAATATACAAGCACTCTTTAAAATAATGAAATGTACACAGGATGTACTTGTATGTCCCAGGCTAGAAAGGCAAAATTGATAAATAACTGTACTCACGGGGAATCCAGGAATTCCTGGCATGCCTGGGTTACCCCTTAGTCCCTGGTGACAGAAGTGAAAATTCACAGGGAATCAGAACTCCGAAGACAATTTCAGCAGAAACTGATGCATCAGTGGGTTTGGAATCCTGAAACTGTTGCATGGCTATATTTTACTCCAGTTTACAGACAGATCCATGAGGTCCTACAAGGGCAACAACCTGTGCTTCTCTTCAAGTTCCACACAATGGGTGTCGCCAGGATTATTCCGGGGGGGGGGGAGAAGTGGACAATTTGAGCATTTTTTCACACAAATTGGTGATTTTCATCCCCTTTCATCTCTCCCCTTTCCCTCCCATTTCTTTTGCTTTATCCTCTGTTCTCCCTTTTTTATTAATCAATTTTTTTTGGGTTGGGGAAAGGCCCTCTCTTGCTTCCCTTGGGACACTTATGTCTGCACTGTAGGCTCCAACTGGAAGCAACAGTGGCAGAACAGTTTTAAAAGTGGAGGGGGGCTAAGCCCCCGCCATTAGACTAAAAAGCATACAATCATGAAGTTGCAATGAACTTTCAATGGATGGCAGGCCTATAAAGTGTGTGGGGGGAACTAACTACTTTTCAAAGGTGGGAAGGGGAGGGCAATGGCCCCCTGGTTCTGCCGCAGGTGCGTGGAAGCACCATTTGTAAACGAATGGATGTCAGAACTTCGTCAGTCACTTCGATGCACAACCATGGATGCTATTATTGGTCAGGTAATTTGGTGTCAGTGCTTCAATATTGGATTATTAGACCTATTCATCGCGAGAACAGCTTTTCTGTACTGACTGGTTTGCAAGTAATCTGTGAAAAGAGCCCTCGCTACTTCAAAGGAGAATAGGAAAACACTTACTGGTTCTCCCATTGGTCCCATGGGTCCCATGAAGCCAGTTTGTCCAGGTGGCCCCGAGGATCCTGGCTCTGAAGAAGTTCCTTTAAATCCTGCATAACCCTGGAGCACAGGAAAAAACGAGAAGAAGGGTGTAGCACTGGTATAACAGAATACATGCATGATCACTACTCGCTCTAGGGACAAGCTCCCATCATTTGGGGCCACAGGGAGTTTTCCTTGATTCAGCAACTTACAGAGCAGACTCTGGTAGCAGGTTGTTCACAGTGAGCCTGGTTGGTATTTTAATGGCACATGCTCAGAGTAAAGCGCGTTGTAGGTCATTTGAGGACCTCCATGTATGCACTTGAAGGTGATTTTATTAGCACAGCTGTACACTGACTCACATGTACCGCACATGCTTGAACTCATATGACATTATGGATTGTTCTTTAATGAAATTATAAATATCAGAATGAAATGAAATGACAATGATAAATGACAGAAATAGCCCACCGAAACACATTACGACTAATTATCATGAATGACAGAGAGAGAGATTTGCCAAAACTGTCAACGGTGTTTTTTAATCTTTAACCTTGTTATATGTGAAAAGTGAATTGTTTTCAGCATTACTATTTCTTTGTTTTATTTACAAAGTTTCTATATGTCAAGAGAACTTGTAGTGGTTTTGCAATACACTGTGGAGCCTACATTACGTCACTTACTTTTTCACCAGGATCACCCATGTCACCACGTGGTCCTTTCATGCCTCGTCCTCCCTGTAAATAGTGAAAGTTTTCACGATCTCAGCAACTGTGATCCATAAATTCAAACAGGTGTTCACTCTCTGCATTCTGCATTCAAAGCTCCAGTAAGCTTTAACAGGGTTTGTCGACCTGTATGCATTACCACATGCTTGGCCATAATTTGTGGGTACAGACTATTATTACAGTTGGAGATGAAAAAGTAAGTTCTTTTGGCAGAGAGCCCTGCTCATGGACAGAAGTATACCAATCCCATTATTTGAGATTAGTGTGTGACTCGGGTCAGAGAAGTGGCATCTTTGGCACTTCTGTGGTCCAATCTTCACAAATTACATCAAGAGGATAAATTTTTCAAATTGTCACGTAATCCTTCAGGTTTGCCAACAACATTCATGCGAAATTTGCCTTTCAAACTGAGAATTCTGCCACTGGCTTGTGGCTGTACATTCTTTTAAGCTTGCACCGCTACTGTATTATTGAAGATGCGAGGCATCCTCAGAACTATCAGTATTAGGAATATGTAACAGTGATACTTAAGTGAATGGTGTAGCCATGAAATCGAACCCCTAGGGTAGATTTCTACCTTTTTGGAATCATTTTAAATTCAATTACAATTTAAGTCACAGACTTCATGGCTTTTGTTTTAAGTTGTTGTGAGCAGTCATCTCATTACACAGTCAACAAAGACGATCGAAATCTGTGCATACAGGTAAGAAGTTATGTCTTTGCCTTTGGGCACAAACAGTGTATTTATAAAAAAGACATCACAGTGCCTGGTATGATTGAGTATACACTTCATGCATAATGTTAATTGCCTGCACATAAAGTCCCAAACTGTACAACCACAAATGGAGGGGCACCATTGGTCATGATGACAGATTTGATATAAATGCCCAGCTGCAGCACACCTTCTCTCTTTAAGTGTCGTGTAACTTCACTACCTCCACGAAATCCACTTCTTTCACTGCCTGGGGTGAAATCTAATCCTGAAACACTCACCCTCCTACCCCTTGAACCTTGAAGTCCCTGGCCCCCACGCGGGCCAATCGCACCCTTGGACCCATCCAGTCCCGGTGGGCCTGGTGGTCCATCCTCTCCCTTCCCTCCAGGTTGGCCTGGGGGACCTCTGGGACCACGGAAACCTGGATAGCCTGGAATCCTCTGGGAGGACAACATACAGATGCATCACAAAAGAGAAACAAATAGCATAGAAAAATTAGTGGGAGAGAAAGTTGAAGGCAGTACACAGAATTTCATGCAGGATCGTGTACGCTGCCTAAACTTCACTGTGATGATGGCTTCTTGGACAAATTAAAGGTGTTTGAACATTTGAAAGTAAATTATCTGACAACTACTCCTGGCTGTGCGAAATTGCATCCTTGAGGAGAAAATGTACACATTAATTTTTGTTTGCCATAGTTCTACAGATTGACCTCGTGTGTGCATTGTTCGCTTGCTCACGAACATCCTGTGGTCCATGGGAAGTTTTTTGCAAGACAAATTATGCAGGATGCACCTTTGACCACTGAATACTCACAGCATTTTCTTATTGAGTCCTCTGAAGTAATGAACTCAAAATATCAAAATAGTAGAATCGGTCAATTTTGTAAAACTTCAGAAAAAGCCAAAGCTATACACTATCTGTAGGAAAGGGGAGAGGATTGCTTGAAAACTTAAGAAAGGCTGTCAGTTTGAATCTAAGCCTTCTGAATTGTAAGTAGACACAGTCATTGTAGCACAAATGATAAGTCTACCGAAAACTTGAAAGCTGAGAACTTGACAGCTACGTAACCATTTCACACATTACGTTGGCACCAAGAAACTGGAAACTCTCTATGCAACCACAGCATTTTTCTCCATATAATGCACAATGTAATGAAGACAAACTTCAAAGAAACACTGCCTACCATTCCCTTGATGCCCTTTGCCCCTTTAGGTCCAAGCTCTCCTGGTGGTCCAGACTCACCTTCAGGACCTGGGGCTCCGGGTGGACCACGATCACCATAGGCAGTCTAGAAACAAGAACAAATTTGTTTAAAAGCTAAAGAAAAGCAGGGAAATGCAGCAAGGTAACTAGGAATCTAACGACAAACATATTTCTATAACAAAAAGATGATGGGCCTGAAGAGTTGACAACCTTCTGTTTAAAACAATAGTCAGCTTGGGGGCACCATCACTAACAAAGGAGTAAAAGTGACTGCTTCCATACAGCTGGCATACATTTACACACCTCCAATCCTATCATAAAAAGCATATGGTAGGATACAGATGATCATATGGTAAAAAATGCATGCAATTTGCACTACACGGACATATATGTGAGTTATGAGTGATATGAAGCCTATTAATGTTAGGCTTTCTCACGAAACATCTATCCCAGCACCCAAAAAAGTAGTACTACAAGCATGACAATTCGATCAAAGTATGGATGAGAAACTTAAACTGCAAAATAAGATCTGATGTCATGTGATGGTACTGCAGTATGGTTATGGCAGACTTACAGGCATATTTAGGGCCAATTCTTCCAGGAGGTAGACCACTGTTTGCTCGTCATCATGTCTTAGCAGCTGGTCAACAAAGCCAGGAGGGAGGCCTGGCATGCCTACATCAAGAATGGGATGTTTTGTCTGGGAAAAAAAAATCCTTCCAAATCATCTCATGAAAGACAGTAAAGGCCTTTTGTAGCTTCAGCTAAATTTACGGAGAGTAACACAAAGGATGCACGGTTCCTATAGCGGGCTGGTTTATCTGGCACATTAGATAAAAGAAGATTATATCATCTGAGTGCTTATTGGGCTATCTGATATTTCGACAGGCCTTTTTTGGGGGGCAGCATCTTTCAGCTAAAAATTCGTCAAAACATGGTAAGCTTGTCAAATTCAATATATACATGTGATATTCAACAAAATGACCTGAAGGTTTAAAACAACGACTGGGCCATTCCAACTTTTGGCTATTTGAAAGAGATAACTAACAAAAATACAAGCACAAGTAGCCAGATTTTTCAAAGAATGGAAAGATATGAAACAGATACCTAATGAGTTTTACTTTAATGGAAACATCCACCTGCTCTTTCAGTTATGTTAAATCTTAAATCTAACATTTTGTAACTTAAGTTTGGCTTTGTAAAGGCAAATCTTAGTTTTTTTTAAGCAATACTGCATATCACTATAAGGTGAATTTGAAAGTTGCGAAGTACACCCTAATTTTGAACTTGAAGATGTAAAATGTAAGTGATCTTTCCTCTTAAAATACACACCCCAACTGTGAATGTCTGTGTTGTGGTCCGTATTGTGGCTGGCACGAGAAATGGCTTGGTGGATGGTGGACTTCTTGTTGTTGGCGGCTCTGTGATCACTGGCGCTTCTGTTGGAGGCTTTGTCTGGGGCGGGTGTGTTACGGGAGCTGGGGGTGTGGGTTCAGGGGTTGAAGGCTCGGGGAGAGGGGGCTCAGGTGCCACTGTAGTTGTTGCTGGTGTTGACAGCCAATCTGGCCAAAGGGGTTCGTATGATACTGTGCTCGGGGGGACTGTGGTTGAAGGTGGAACCTTAAAAAAGGGAAGCAGATTTACCATGTGGCAACCTTTTGGACATTTCTGGAAGCTTACAAATGAAATTTTTAATCATTAGTGCCTTTCTTTGAAAAGGTCATAAGCAATCAATTGCATTTTGGTAGTTCACACTTCCCAGAAGATATCGGTAGCCTGACACCTATGAAACCTGTGAGACTCTCAACGCAATATACACTGGTCAGTTTGAAATGAATTTGGCAGCAGGTACTGCCGCCAAAAAAGTGCTGGTCACTGACTGGCCAAATGTAATCAGGTGTTTCAGGCAGTCCCAAATCCAATTACCCATGCATGGAGCAGAGGGAATGCTCCCTCAAGTAAGGGTATGACATGACTTGCCTGGCTGATATCTATGCAAAATTGTTTAGCATTTGTCATTAAGGACCCATGCAGGAACTGGACCACTGGCACTGTGTGATCTGCATTCTCAAAAGTGTATGGTGGGAAGTAGGCATTTCTAATTTTCAACTGAATGAGCACAAGCCCACCAAAACACACCTGAAAAATTATGGAAAGGGCCGAGTGCAGATTTCAATGCTTTGTGGCAAGAGGCCTGACTGATTGTTCTGGGACAGTTTTTTTAAATATTCAAGCAAATTTTCTTTTCATTATTAAATTAAAAATTGAGGTTGTCAAACTTACCTCAATTACATTTTCACACTGGAAGAATGTTGTACAATCAGATGCTGACAAAAAATTACCCCGGTAATACATGGTCTGTATTCTTCCCTGCAAACAAAGATGGAAAAAACAAGCAAGAGCAATCTAATTTTCAGTGAAAACATTATGTATTTTAAAGGCAGCATTTTAATGCTCTAATTATGATGCAAAGAAGATTTGTGGTAACTCAAAGTCTTGCCAAACTACAATCGGCACTGTGCCGTGAAAAAATTCAGCATGCTAGCATAGAACGTCAACAAAACAATCTTGTACTGAAAGGCACTGATCTGGATGAACAGTGCACACAGTTGATATGGCAGTGCTGCGGCAAGTGTCTTTAATACCCGTCTGTCCTGACCATGAACTTGCCTCAATCATTCTGTTAACCTACATACGGTCATCCTGCCACAGTCAGTCAATGTAAAAGTTTTCTGCATGATACAGGTTCCACTTAATACCAAATTAAACCACAATGGGACTCCATGCAGAGCTGTAGGTAAGGAAACACTCCTTTTTTTCTCGAGGATGATTGGGATGGAGGTGGAAGAAAGAGCCTGACAAATTTTATTGAATTAATAGTACAGGGCCCAATTTGAAGGTGCTGCTCACCATTCAGGAAATATTTTGCTAGCCATAGCACAAAATTTTGCTAAACGGTAACATTAAGCAAACACAGCTAACATTTCACAGTTGTTGTACTTAGCAAAAATATGCTCGGGTGTGCATGGAGATTTCCACTGATAAGCAAATTTTTCCTCAGGGGAAAATGTAAGTGTTTCATACCCTGTGCTAACTGCTTATGGTCTAAATGAAATACAAGGAAACTCTTTTAGGGTAAAATCTAGTGCTTAGTAGCGCTGTGGAATTAAGCCCTGCTTCAGATACTGAGAGAATCAGAACAACCATGGTTTCCACTTCAAGAAACAAAAGCTTTGCACAACATGGACAAAAAGGAGGAGAAAAAGCTCAATGTATGTATGTGTATACAAGCTGAGAGGGGCATCAGCAGAGGGCAACTCAAATCTTGGATGGATTGCGGTGGGGGGAAGGGGGAGGGGACATCAACGGGGGCCACAAAAGTGAAATGGGGAAAGTTTTCTTCTCCCCTTCTTCCAATAGCATGTAAAAAGCTCCCCAAACAGCCTCATCCCTCAGAAGGGACATAAGAGGTTAGACACAAAGAAATATGCAACTTTTTTAGCCCTCATACAATTTTGGATTTCCAAATACACTTAGTACTGGATTTACCCTTTGTTCCAATTCCCATCTTTCTCAAAAGATATTTGTTGACTTTTACACCAAGCCTTTATCACATTACTACATTTACAATGCAAAAGTTTTAGTTCCTTTTTATCTCTAAAAATCTGAAATTCAAGAATAAAACCTTGTGGAATTCCGTTACGTAACTAAAGCACATTCATAGAGTTGGCTTTAAAAATTACTTACACTGGATATTGTTATGATACCCTCCCATCACTTCTTAGGTTCCCAATTTTTCCCATTTGTACACCATTTTCCAACATTGAAATATGTTGCATCTCTTTGTTTTTCGGGGGGGGGGCATGAGTCTCAGGTTTGTGAGTTTCTGCTAGTACTCACAAGATAAGGTGATTCAGTTGGTAAGATGGTGCCAGCGATGATCATTCTGCCATTGGATTTCAGCTCAAACTTCCTCCTCAAAGGAAATGAGGAGATCTCATTACAGTCCATGTAGCTTGTGATTTTCTTCTGTTTGTTGCCAATGGCTAGGCCAATATTGTGCCATTCGTCGTCGCCAAATTTTTCACTGAAAAACCTGTTGGTAACACAAGACACCAGTGACACTTGGTCTTCAACATTGTAGCACGCTGAATGAAAAGAAGATGACAGCTGTTAGAGTTGTAAAAATGATGCAGCCAAAGTAACATCCTTAAATGTCTTGATATTAGAAAATATGTGCTGTTGGAAGCACTGTTAACCATATCCTGCCGAGGAGCCCATTTTCGGGTACCTTGGGTTTGTACGCAAGTCGGGGTGCCCGAAATTGGAAAAAAGAGCTTAGGCCTTTTAGCAAAAGACCGTACTCGGAACAAAAGACAAAGCTGCTTGGAATTGCCAACATTTTTTTCAGTTGTCAATAGAGGAGGTAATCCGTCATTGTTTTGAAAGATTACACCACTGTTTGTGGCATTCAGCGCGAGCAGATTACAACCGGGGACAAAAGCGCTCCAGCGCTCCAGAGATGAGGGATACAATACCCCTGCACGCTAATCTGGTCCATATTGAAAACACACCAGAAGTGCACTGTACCAGTTTTTGGGAACAAAATAAACTTATGTAACACCGCACAATCTGGGCTCTTTTTAAAAGGCGGCAAGTCTGGCTGAAATACTGTGGCATCAATAGATATTGTCTGTATGATTAGAGTAGCCACCAGACAAACACTCCATGGGGTTTAGGCGTTCAGGAAAAAAAGATAAGGATTTTTGAAAAACGAAGATATTGAAAAACTGCCCATACGTAGGCACTGCATTTTAAAAGCACCCAGCAGATAATAGAGTTTAAATCATGTGAGTCCTGGAATGGAGAAATAGGCCATGTCTGAATCTTGCGCTTCAAGTTAGGCCAAGGTCTTTGTTGGCTGCACATTCGTGAGCACATTCGTGGGCACATGCTGATGGCAGATACAGGGAGTTCAATAAAATAAAGATTAAGACAATGATTATGGCCCTTTGTACCAGAATTCATCTTGTTTCTGGGCCAGAGGTAGGACTTGGGTATTGGTCTAGATATGAGCCATGCTCTTTCAACATTTGAAATGAAGTGCTCCTCAGCTCTTACTTAGTTGTTCTTACTAGAACATAAGACTATGGAGCCAAATGAAAACACATTCTAGGATAAGTGTGTGTTTGTTTTTACAGTCGATTGGCGACCACATTGTCCGTTGTCATTCAGGGTCCCTGATTCTACAAGCATTTTGTTTTTACATTCAATTGGAGACCACATTGTTCCCTGTCATTCACGGTCCTTGATTCTATGAGTATTTTTCCTTACATTTGATCGGAGACCACATTGTTTCCTGTCATTCAGGGTTCCCGATTCTATGAGCATTCTGTTTTTACATTGGATCAGAGACCACTGTCATTCAGGGTCCCCGATTCTACGAGTGTTTTGTTTTTACATTCGATCGGGGATTGCATTGTCCTCTGCCATTCAGGGTCCTTAATTCTATGAGCGTTCTGACTGACAATTGTGTACAAAACATTTAAGAGGTCTTCAACAGTTTTTTTTTAGAATGAACAAAAGAGGAACAGGAGGTGGTCTTCAATGCAGGCAAATACACATTTGTAAGATTGCAATAAGCTTTACCCACCTGTATGACACCAATGTGTTTGTTCGTAGTTGAATCTCACACATGTTGGGACCTAGCCGAACTTGTATCTGAATGCTGCCATTTTCATCAACCACGGTGAGAAGGTTTTCAGTTTTGTCTGTGGCATATCTGATTTTGAACATGATGCTAAAAGCTTTGGGAAATCTGTTGCAGAAATGGTGGAAAACAAGATTCATGTTTACTGCAGGTTACCTACAGGTACTCCCTAAACTTCCAACAACTGCCAAAACAAAACAAAAAATACATGCACTGAATGAATGATTCAACTCAGAATAAATTGTAAGTGTATCACAAACAAGCAAAAATCAACTGTCATTGTTTACATCGAGTTGTTCACATCTTTTTTACAAAGGCAGCTGGCCTCATAACTACCAGCTATTCTTTATTAAATGTATCAATGGCAAAAATGATTACTGTGCTTCAGCCTACAGAAATGATGATTGAATGCAAATACAACAGAAACTTGATGAAAACTGTTCACTGGGAAATGTATTATTGGTAAATTGCATGAATGAACACTGAAATGAAATAAACGATAGTGATAAACTACATTTATAAATACCTGGGACAGTTTTTCTATTCCTATTGGTTGACACATGTGACCATGTATTAAGATTTGATAATGCCTTCTGCGTACAGCACGCACTGGCACCTGGATACGAGACAGTTTAAGTGATTCCAATTGGTCGAGAGTCAGTGTGCATGAGGCACATGGAACTTGCCGCGCACGCGCCAAATCCATAAAAGGAGATTCTTCTGGACTACTTGCACAAGGAATATACCATCAAATGGACAGGGATGTTTGGGGAAATGAGAGCAAAATTTTTGGGCTAAATCCTTGGAAATTTATTGTATATTGATTTTCCTTTGACTCTCTCACTAAAATGGTATTTATGATACAAATAAATATGTGCTTGGTTGGTCTTAAAGCTCAGGAGAATGAACACTGATAATGGGCGAGGGCATTACTTGTGACCATTCTCCTCAGCTAATTTGAAATTTATGTTTATGACTAACCAAGCACATATTTATTCCCTTGGTAAAACCCTCTGTGT